CTGTGGTGTTATGCTGTTTCATGGAATGTACAGTATTCATTAAAATACACAGCACTGAATGTGAAATTCCATTTGCATTTTTGTACTGCCATTTATAGTTTCGTAACACCTTAACCATGGTTGTATTTGGATATATACTGTATTTGGATATATTTGCTACAATATACTTGAAAAAAAGTATATTTTAGCTGAAGCTGTTGAATAAAACACCTAGGAAGGACTTACTGTGTTTCCAAAAGAAACATGTGTCATACACAGCTTTGCCGTAGGCTGATTTTCATTCATTTCAAAGGCAAATGACAATTCACACACGACACCCCTCATAAAAGGACGTACAGCATGCCGTCTGTGAATAATTCATGACTTGGGCTCCATGTCTCTTATAGTACAACAAATGTGCCCCTTGGCCATCAGGTTGACCAACATTTGCGTTCTGCGGATCCAGATGCTGATTTGCACAGTCCATCCAGGACAACAGTCGCCTGATGGCAGATGATTGTTCAACACTTTCCACTGCCTGACAGCAGCCTGGCAGTTCCTCTGAAAAGTTAAAAGGTTAAAGGGTGCCAAAGGACAGGGGCAAATTAGGAACAGCCTGGCTTGCATCAGGAGGCTATTGAAACCCTTATATGCCCATGTTTGTGAAAGACCAAGAGGGCATGCCAACATCACACACATATTAAATTTACTGCATCTGCACAACAGGGCTGGGGGAGGTACCAAGGGAAGCTGATCTCTAAGATCAGTTATAAATGAAACCAGAATCTTGTCTTGCATTACACTCTGCTCATTAATAGGATTTGATTTACTAGAGTCTGAATGCACAGCTGCACGTGCAACTCCATCTCCAGCAGACCGAGGAATTCACTCTGACATTTGTGTTGTGTAAATTTTATTTCCCTAAGAGAAAAGAAAAAATAATGACATGAAGACTGGCTTTTGAATAGGTAAACAGGAGTCAGTAAGGCATTGTACATGCCCAGTTCTGGAACCATTCTTAGTTCATTTAACTTTCTGAAATCTGTACATATGTGTGTTTTTGCTTTAGATCTTCACATGAGGCTCTCTTATTTTGACTTACTTAAAATCAAAACAACCCCTTGTTAGTTTTCAGGAGCTGTTATGACACTTCTGATGTGAAATAGTGAAACTTGGAGGTTTTATGGCAAAGTCGAAAGTAGAGGCCTGGTAAATGATATACTGGACAACCATGTTTTAGAAATATCTTTCAAAAACTAATGCACAGTTTGCTGTAGAAACATTGTTTGTAGAATTTTTCATGTTAGGCAAAACCAAGCACAACAGACATTTTTGTAATATGCAAATATACAAATATAAAAAAAACATATTTGTCATTTGCCATAAATTGATATTAAGCTGAAACACAGCAAGGTAGAACAGAAGGAATACAGGTTTAAGTTAAGACCTTGCACTCTGTTCTAATAACCAGCTGTTCCATACTAACAAAGCATTAACCTGCACACTCTTTGTCCAGAAATCCCCAGACATAATTCAAAAGAGGACTTGCAGCAAAGCAGTAACTGGAGGAAAAACTGATATAATTTTTGATTTCTCTTTGGAGGCTGGGATAGTCTGGGGAGAAGGAAGACTGAAACACTTTGTCCCAGACCACGTGATTTTTAGGGGAAGCCTGCGTGGCTCTTAAGATGTTTCCCTGGTTACCACAACATGTCCAGAGACACACTGCATTAGCACTATCAGCTTGTTTAGCTTCCTCTCCACCACCCAGATGTGTCATTGTGGCCTTATTTATCACAACCTCCTCTATTTAAGGATACTCCACGCCCTCTACCCATGCCACATGTGGGCTGCTGTGCAGCTGACAGGGAGAATGCCTATGATTAAGCCAGAAAACATTTATCTGTGCTTGACAACCATCATGGGGCTGTCTTAGGAGAATTTGAGATATTTGGCATTCAGTATAGTGAGTCGAAGTGAATTAAAACAAAAAGAAGGTTATCAGGGAAAACGAATCCTCTTAATAGAATAAAAAGACAAAAAATGCTCTACTCTATTTCATATTTCAGTTGCATAATTAGCAATTAAGTGATGCCCATGATGATGCCCATCTTCATATAAACACACACATGAAGTATGACCATGGATCCTAGCATGATTAAATACACCATAGACTTTTGGCAAGCCTTAATTCATTACAACAGGCACAGAGCTCCAGACCTCAGCCAGGAAAGTCACTGAATTCTCTTGCTCGTACTGGTGTTCTGATGCTTTCTGAAAACCTAATGAAAGCCTTAGCCACCTAAACAGCTTTCTCCCCAGTGGCAAGAGATGCAGTATTCATAATACACAACAATGTGAACATTCAAATTGAGATTTTTTTAAAGGCCTGAACATAGCAACTATTTTATGTTGGAAATTGCACTTTGGTAAACCCTTGTGTTTTATTTATTTATTTTAAAGAATTTCTTTCTTAGAGGCTGGATGCCAAAATACCCACTACATGAAAAGACTGATGTTTTTGGTTGTCTCCTGGGAGCCAGTTTCATAAATAAAAATACAGTTCAAAGGGATCTGTTCATCCCACGGTATGAGTAAGCACTAAGCAATGCCATGGCTATCTGTGAAGCCAGTACTATAAAATTCCATGAGTAGTGACTCAAAAACAACAAGCTGTTTGCCAGCCTGTCATGAGGTCTTCACACAAAAGCATACTGATAAATATGAACAGGGCCTCATATGAAAATATTAACATGACGTGAAAAACATTAACTGCAGCCATGTTGTCTAAGGGCAGGAGAATTCTGGGTAAAATTCTCTTTCCTTTAAATCCTTTAAACAAATTTGCTGTGGGAAGCATAACAATACATTTCTGTTAAAATTAGAATATATTTTAGGAAAGCTGATAATCCAAACCATAATTTCTGGACAAGATTAAAACAAACTGATAACCATCATTATCTTACAGAATAAAACATTCACGTTTGATTGTTCTCTGCCACAGTTACAGGTCCCACTTTTGTACTGAAGATCACTGATCTTAAGACATGGTTGCAAATGAAGTAATTCAGCTGGTAATCTTTGTGAGCAGAATGTTTAGGAAGTGTTTAACTTAATTACATTCTAGAAACAAAGAAGGCACTCTGGATTTCAGACGTTTAATATGAGAAGTAATTGAAACCGATACTCTTTGCAACCAAGAAAGGAACTGAGTGAAAAGACTCAAGTGCGAAACAACCTACCATTTATGGTCTCTACCATTTGTGGGGTTTTGGGTGAAATTTTCTTTTGCTGTAATGAATCAGACTAATTACTTGCTCCCAAAGTGATAGTGACTGAGTCCCTGTAGATTGGGTGGTAGGTTTCACACTTGAGTCTTTTCACTCAGCTCCTTTCTTGGTTGCAAAGAGTATCGGTTTCAATGACTTCTCATATTAAACGTCTGCAATCCAGAGTGCCTTCTTTGTTTCTAGAATGTAATTAAGTTAAAAGCCACCATCTCTCTAAGTGAGTCCTTTATTCCCATATCAATTAATTCATGTTTTGATTGTAAACCTCCTTCTCTTTCCAACATTTCAGTCACACCTGTATTTGTATGCTGGACCATTTTGACCTACTGTACAATGAATGAAGTGTTTCAGTGATAATTTGGCTGTGTGTGATCATTAAAACCTGTGGTATTTTTTATTAACAAACTTTTAATTAATGTTCCTTACAATACAGAACAAGTATGGCTAGGTATACTGTACATCCTAGCACATGACAATAAAAAAATAAAATGTCTTCTAAAGAGTTTGCATTTTTCTAGACACGCTTTAACTGACTGTGCTGGTTAGTGTAGATCAGCTTTGTGCTGTAACAGCAAAAGGCTGCTGGAAAAATAATTTGTCAGCTGGGCTATAATGGAAGCCTCTGGTAAAAATAAACTGTCAATATGTCAGGATTGCCAGTGGCATTCCTGAGTGCATTTCTTGTTCAGAATGCTATTTATGCCTGGAACATTATACGGATTTGAGAAGAAGGAGAGGCAAAACCAAAGAACGAATCCAGCCAGTGATTTTGCCTGAGTGGTGTTTTGCTGATGCATAAAATGTCCCACTTTTTTGCCGTCTGTCATTGAGCTTGATGACAAAGTGCTGAAAGAGTCCTCAGGCCCCATAATGCGGGGCAAACCATGCAGCTGTATCTACAGTATGTGACAAGCGGGCTCAGAATGTGCTGCGAGACGTGGGCCTCCGCTGTGGAGCTCTGAAGGTCACACGCCGGAGAGCACACGGCGCCAAGAAAGACCAAGAAAATCAGCCTCGACTACATACCTGCTTTGCATTTTGCAGTGATAAGAGAGCCAATACCTGTATCAATAAGCTCTTGCCACACAGGGAGGAATGTTAGTGCAATAGGAGTGTGTGCAATAGTTTAATTCCAGTTGATATTTGCTTAGGACCACACCTATATCCCCCTAGATTATCTCCAGTAAACAAATTTTTGTTTTCTATGTTGCCTGTGTTTTAATGGTGTAAGTAATAGGCTAAGATTTCTTTATTTTTAGTTAGATTAGTTCAGGATCATAATTTCAGCATTTATGATGTTCCACAAATTCTAAAATCTTCACTGTACAAAAACACTTAACATTGGGTGGTTAAAGAATTAACAGTTTCTTTCTGTGTTCAGTGCTTTGTACATTTAATTTAGTATGGTAATCTGCAGGTTACTGTTGTGATTGTGGGGGGGTGTTTTCTCGGACAGAAAGATATTTGTAGATTCAGATCCGATGTCCAGACAATCCCCACAGGTCGATGGCAATTTGATATTCCTGGAAGACACAAAACCAAGGGATGGGTGCACTGGGGACTTCCAAGCCAGGGAGATGGTTCTCTCTTCCCTGGATAGAAACGTCATGCTCAGCTCTCGTCTGCAGACGGATGACTCACAGAGCGGAGAAAGAGGAACGGATACGCAGCCTCACGCAACAGAAGAGGAAGAAGTCGTTTTAGAACATGACAAACGTCAGCGATTATTCTTTTTTTTAAATATTCAATTCTTTATTTCACTTCTTTTATGTTCGGCGATATTTTATTAACTAATTGTTTGTCAAACTGATTATAGCTGAGAACAATCCATACATTCATCAATGGACACCGTTCTCTACTTAAAGGGTTGCGGTCAGCTGAGCCCAACGTCATAGGCACAGAGCACTAGGAGGGATACACCCTGGTAGGGACCATCTCAGGGAACACACACATCTATTAAACCCACTTGGACATGAGGGCAACATACAAATTCCATGTAGACGTCCAATCAACACCCCAGGACCCAAAGGCTGTTAGGCAGCAAAAGGTTGACCAACTATTTTGTTAATGTCTTCATGTCTCCTTTCATATATTACATACTGTATACTATACACTATATATACAGTATATATTATCATATAAATCTCCTTGTGTGTTCAAAGACGTGGTAAAAAATATTTTGCCCTTTGAAACCATGGATGTTAGAACTAAAATGGGGCGGGTAGGATGACTGGTTCATTTATCTTAAAATATTTCATCATTCACTGGTGTCTCAAAATTGACTTACAGGATCTTTCTATGGAATTCCGTACAAATGCGTATTAAAAATCTGTAAATTGCCATGTAATTGTCAATAAAAAGACATAAAGTTGCACCACTCCGTTGTGGGTGTTTTAGCAAAGCCGCCTTAGAGAGATAAACTCATATTACAAAATCCCGTACAAACACACCCCAGCTGCCCATGGTGAATAGTTGCACAAGTTAATATTGCAAATAACTCACATTACAGCATAGAACTACACAGCTACACTGATTCTACACTGATGTAACGTTTATATTTCTGAGGATCGTCACATCGTTTTTCTGGCTAGACTACTCTCATCCTTAGGAATCCGGTATGTTTTCCAAAAATGTTAATTGCATTTCTGGCATCAGTTGATGCTGTTTTTTTTTTATAAATCAGATAAGTGATTCTAGATTAAGTGCATTAGAGTGAAGAACATAAATTAAGTTCATTTCTAGTAAGCACACACAGAGGTGTTTTTCTTTTGCCTGACACATGTTACGTTTTTGCCTGATGTTAGTTTAAAGATTAAAGACACATCTGCCTCCAAAACAAATGTTTGTATTGCAGACACTTGAGATTGTCAGGTCTCTAGGAATAAACAGAGACTGATGGCTCGCAGGACAGAACTGTCAACGACACCTGCAAGACACTAGGAAATAAAAACACTTTTTGTTGGGAGTATTTACTCTACTTACAAAGTACAGTGTACTGCTAAAACATAATAAATACAAATAATTAGGATATAAAGAATTTCTTTTCATTGCCAAGGCAGGAAGAAAATACTTTTTTCCTGGCATTGCCAATGATTAATAAGTGAAAAGAAAACTACTGTATATGGTTTCACTGAAGACAATTCCTCTTTTTTTTGCAACCCAAGTAAGTTTGCTAAAAATCTTGTTGTCGTTCAGTCCCCTACATCTGATCATATTATCGAATTCAACTCACCAGTGCTGGCACTCAGGAAACTCATTTTCGGTGAAACTATTAGGTGTGTTAGAACCAAAAGGAAAGAATTCAATTTTAAGGTGGAGTCAATAAATGTTACCTTTATCTCTTAAGTGTGTCTCCCCTCTGGTTTCGCTCTTATTTCAGTCTGATCATTAACATTATGGAATGCTTTTACAACCCTGAATGTACAGTAAGTCTGTACAAGTAACAAAAATGTAAAAATAGTACCAACTTAGAATTTGATTTACTTTCAAGTTAATTTTATAGATTATGTTTTTTTTTCTTCAAATTTTCTCTTTCATTTACGTAAATCATCCTGAGAGTCATGACCATATATGAAATGTGCACTTAACGCATAACTTAAAAGTTTGTGTACAGTGAGGATTAGGACGTCAACATGTCAGTTCAGAGTGTAATTAATTTAATCCTCTGCCTGGTTGGGTAGAGTACACGCGCTGTTCTTCGGTTATCATTTTACATACAACAGCAATCCCAGCTCCATTAGACCTCCAGGAACACCAACAAGCAAGAAGCAAGAGAATTAAAGAAAAAAAATCACAGCCAAAAGTGATCAACAATTCCAGATCTCCTGATCTTTAAGGTGTTCTGCTTTTCATCCCAGCAGAGCTCCTAACTGCTTTAATTGGATTCATAATTATTTTAATTGCACTAATTAAACATTTGTAAAGGTTTTTAGCCATTTACAATTTAAAGAGACCTATAAAATCTACTGGACTGGGTTTGTGCAATTCTTGCAATATATTCTGCATACTACATTCTCTGTGTCTGTTTAAAGTGCACGCTCTTCCATTTACTGTGAACCTTAAAGTAGACTGCATGGCTGTTTTGCTGCAGTTTAGACTACATCATTTATGTGTAGCCCACCAGGCGGGGCGTGCTGGGAAAACTTTTCCTCATGCCCATACACTTCTCCTGGTCGATGAACAGGGAGTTAGCCTTCACCGACAGGTCATGCTCCAGGGAGACTTTGGTGCGGACAAGCGTCTGTAGGGTGTCCTCTGCGTCTCTTAGCCTCTCCTTCAGCTTCTGTATAGTGTCTCCAATCTCCCTGACTTCACTCACCAGCCTGTGCAAAACAACAAAGGAACATCCTTTATTTAACTGCTGAGGACCTACTGTAGAAGGGAATCCCTTACTCGGACAAAACAGGAGTAGCCTTTCTAAATATATATACAGTATATAAGTTTAGCCTGCCTAAATGCCTAACATCATTCCAGTAAATCACACATGCATTGGCTCAGAAATACATCATACACTGCAAGGTGGCTTCAACACCATGTTTTTTGTCATTTATGTATTTATTTGGTAAATGATAAGACTGATCACACTATAAGAATCAAGGATCAATTACAGTAAGTAATTAGGTCCCTGTCAAAGCAGCTGACAGATCACAAAGTAATATTTTAGGAGTCATTTGAAGCATACGTTTCCCATCCAAGCAACCCAATCCATTAACTAATCTAACAAACTGTAAACTCCATCCCTCAATAGATAGGTCAGGTACTGAACAGCACTTGGATACTAAAGCTGATAGGGAATCTGCAAAAAGCCTCTAGTGGCTAGAGTAGTACATACATTTAATATCTGCTCTTTTTCACATTCTCTTGAAAGGCATTAGTCAAATATTGATACCAGTAAAATCAATAAGAGCACTTGTATGTTCAATTTATTTCCATGCTGAATGGGGGACTGGAGTGCAAACTGCAACCCTGTGGGGATCTCCAAAGAGATTGATTCTCTTGCTTCAGATGAGAGAAACATAAGATAAGGTCATGGGCCCTACCGGTGGTGGGGGTTGTCACGGCACAGCTCGACGTTGGGCCTCCTGGTCCGCTCCTCCAGGCGGGTTTGGGCCACTTTCAGAGGACTTTCCTTGTCCCGGATGGACTTCTTCAGGGTCTCAATGAGCATCTCTGTCTGAAAGATTTCCTGCAGTGTCTAAACATCGACAAGAAAAAGGGAACGGTAAGGGGAATATAATGTGGGTTATATGAAATGTTCGCTTGTATACAAATTTAGAATTGGCATGTATTTTTCGATGATATACCCACCACATTCAGAATCAATTAATGCCTGATATGTCTTTTCTCACAACGATGACCCCTGTATCCACATAGTGAGAATGAGAAAATGCAGGCAGACTACTCAGACACTCCCCACACGTAGCTTGGCCCACTCTTCTTCTTAAATGCTATAAGCTGCAAGAACCCAGAAAATTGCAGGGTAGCCGTTTTTCTGAGGGTTGACTAATCACAGCCCTGCCCTTGCGGTGCTGTGACCTGACCCAGACACGACCACATTTAAATCTTAATCATCCCAGAAGAAATATTCAAATGGCACTATTAATCAAACCTTCTGCCATGATGGTCCCCCACTGCCAGCCATGCTAAGTTGTCTGTGCTATTGAACATGGCAAGGTATTTCGTGCACTACTTCAAAGAAAGAAATGAAACAACTGAAGTCCAGGATGACGTACAGTGATTGGGTAGCATCTGAAAAGAGCTGAGTACACGTGTAAGCTAAATAATGAAAATGACTTTCTATTGCCTGTTAATTTTTTTTAACAAATCTACACTGTTTCATAAATCCATTTAGTGATGTGCATTCTATTGACTTTACAATATAGTGCATGCTTTAATTTTTCCACTGATGTTAAGATGGAATCGACAGTGGGCTGGAGTTCTGTAGTCCATGTGTATATTTAACAAGCAGCGTCTCATACTGTATGTGCTTTCTGGTATTTCTCTGGTATGAGCAGTTCATCAATAATAACCAAGAATTTCGTCTCTAGAGTTAAACAGAGTAAAACTAAATCCAGCATAAATCAGCCTCCATGAAACATTCACATAAACTTAACTATATTAACAAGTCCTGTCTTGGACCCCATTGCGTTTCAAGTTTCAAAACAAATGTTTGAGTTTTGCTGTTGATTTTTCACATGAAAGTCATTTTGGAATTAACAGGCTAATTAACACTGCTGTACAACATTCATAATAGGATACAAAAGAACTCCTATGTATTTCAGTTTTGACATGATATGTTAGTCTCAGATAAAATGCCCAGTCCTTGCCAAGTGAATTGGTAATGGATTTGTTAATGCAGTGTATTTATACTCATTCAGCAATGCAATCAAAAATGATGGTTGTAAACACTGTACATACAGTACTTTAGGTTTCTGAATCTCTACTTTGCCTTATTCAACTTCTGTACATGAAATCAGAAATTGTTGATGAAGTTTTTCAGATTTGATCTTTTGGGCATTGAACTCCAAAGAGGATCACTAGCAGCATGCTGTGACCAATCTAAGCACCGACAAAACTAAAGCTTTTCCATTTTCTGCCCCTAATGCAACACCTTAGCCAAGTGCGTCTGCAGGTTGTTCTTGGCGTCGGCGGTCTCGGCCATGCGATTGGTGAAAGCCACATTCACAGTGTTGAACTGGTTCCACATCTCATTGGAAGTGGTGTTTAGAAGGATTTCTACTTCATCCCGAAGTCTGGCAGATGCTGCTCGCTCACTCTGGGATCGGAGAATGTTATTATCTGTAAACTTGGCCCAGGAATCAGGTATTGAAAGTCTGCACGGGACAGTAAGAAACATAATCACACCCAGCTATGAAACTGACCATAAACTCTACAGCACATTCACACCTAAATCTGGCAGGAGATAACAGACTTTCATCTCCTTCAGCCTCATAAATAGACATTTTTTTAAGAATGCGAGAGGTAAAATCAAGCGTTATGTGGTTGTTACTAAATCAGACTCAGGGGAGTTTGTTCATCGTGTCCGAGTGTGTAAATACATCTCTTTTACTGCAAAAGGATTTTTTTTCTCCATGTTCTTTAGCAAGCAGAAACAAAAAAGCCCCCATGGAAAAGTGCAATTGCAGTTCTGAAGGTCTGTGGCATCATCTGGTCTCAATTTCCTCCTTCAGCTACTTGAAAATAATTTAAAAACTCTTTCCAATCTCTTTAATTGTAGGTGACCTGCTAGACGGCAGCTCTCCTTAATGGGATTGAGGCACCATCCAATATCTGTCTGGAATTGAAGGTTATATAAGAATGAAAAAAGCATTTCACCTTTAAATTCAGTTCACGAAACTATTGTGGTTAATAAACTGAAAACAAGAAAGAAACAAATGCTGTGAGGTGTTTCTATTGCTCTTACTTAAAACATAAGATAGCTTATGTTTTAACACTTCTTACACACAAGATTCATTAGAAAGACTTTAGCTAAGAAAGCTAAATATAATTATTCAATTTGAGCTTTTTTTCTACTTATTCTGTCAGAAAATACCATGTTTTAGGTTTCTTTAGTATAACAGGAACAGGATTTCTGAAAGTCAGATTTTGCAAGGGTTTAGTTTTGGTTAAACTACAGACATGTTTGTGAGCTATAGAACCTCTAAACCTCTACATTAATTACATTAGGCACATTAATTACTGAACAGTGTGCTCAGAATCATTTTTTGTTCCCTTTAGGAATGTTTCAATCAGTTTCTGCAAGACAAAAAGGCTTGTACTTTGACCAGCTTTAACTCAATGCAAAACTATTTTTCCTTAATGAGTTTAAGGACATTGTTTCCACACACCCTCCCCAAAAACACACACTTGCACGTGATACTGAACGGAACTGAACTCACGAAGGGTCCAGCCTCTCCACGCCTCTGTAGTAGCTGATTCCATCGGAGGTATTTCTCAGCTGGTGACACTTGTCATCGATCCGGTGGGCCTCTGCTTTGTCATTGACGTCTCTCTCCAGCTCGTGCTGCGCTGCCCTGTTGGACCTGAAGCCGCGACGTTAAGCATTTCAGAGACAAGGGGAAGAAACCTGCTGAAGGATGAACATTGCAACGCATTCTGTGAAACAAACCCAGTGAGTGAGTTTGAAAAATAAACAGTGAGCTCTGTGCTAATACTGGTGTCTAACTCTGCACATTTAAGGTCTTCTTAAGATTCCCCTTCCTGAAATGCACTTATTCAGACATAAGGGCATAGAGCTCCACTTATTCGGGGCCTCTTCCCTATTTACACAGGAGGCAGTTTTCCTTCTGGGCCACAATTTCCAATCCAATCACAATGCCCAGGTATGGTGACTGCGGACACTGTGCTGAAGGAGGTGCCATCCTTTGGATAAGATGTTAAACTGAGGTACTGACCACTTGATCATTACAGATCCCTGTGGCCTTGTTCTTTAGAGCAGGGACGTGCCAGTATCTGGACTGAATTCCACTTCAGGCCTGCATAATCTGTCCTGCCTAAATTTCCCATATAATTCAATCGGTGAAGTAAATTCTCCTGATCTGCTGTGTAGAATGCCTGCTGGTGCAGATTTGCTGTTGTGTGTCCTCAATGTGTGCTGAGTTATGAGTGATTGTAATTCAGTGGTGAATGTGGGTTCCCACCTATACTGCGAAGAGCTTTGGGATATTTTGGGATGAAAAACATCATGCATCTATAAGTGATTAATGGAGTTCAAAACAAACGTTCGGGAGGGATGACAACAGCTACAGTAAGTTCAATCAACCTCACCCGTCAGTAATTTGTTACATCATTTCCTCTTATGAAATGACTGTAAATACTATAGTAATCCTCTTCTCTCCCTCACATACATCTTTTAAATTCCTCCTCCACCCCATCTCCACTTTTGCAGCATCCTTGTGGTCACTCTGCAGGGGTGTCCTAGCCTCCTCGTCCGATAGCCAGAAGGCTGGCCCTTAGCTAAGCAGGAAAAGCCAGATTTATTGTCAGTAAAACACTCTGCTAACCTTTCAATACACTTAATTCTTGGCTGTTGTTATTCCTCGTTAATTATATATGTTTTTTTTTTTAATTCAGTTCAGCATGCTTAACTGAATACTGAGAAAAAGTGTGGTTTTCGATGAATTCGTAAAAAAAAGCCTGTTAGTCATCAGATGTTTCATGGGTCCGGATGATGGCCTTTACTCATAACCATGAAATATTCTGGACCCATTCTCTGGCATTGGATCTACTGTAAATCTACTGTCACTGATCTCATCAGCTGTTAACTGGAGCTTGTATCCCTCCCTTTTCTTTTTAGAGATTTCTTCATTTTAGAGCAAGCCCACAGGAATGGCAGAAATATACAAGAGATTCTGTAAAAATCCACACTGATTCTATTATGTCCATACCCATTCTTATGATAACTCATTGGAATGCTCTATTCCCATGACAGTTACATCACCAGTTGAACTGGAAAGTTCACTGTTAAAAATCTCTATGAACAATATAGTATCTGTGCACCATGATCTATACCTGAGTGGTTGACTTACGCAAGCTGAGCATTCACCCTGTCCAGATGGCGCCTCATTCTTTCCTGGCAGGACTTGATCATCTCAACCTCCTAGAGAAACAACAATGTCAAATTTAAAAACACATTCTGTTTCTTGTAGATTGCACCTCGCACACTAGAGAAAAACCATTACTGATGGGGAAAAAGGAAGGTTTGCAAGAGAAATGACAGTTCTGACAGCTTTCTCAGCTTACAAAGCAAGACAAATATAGGAAATTGTACTAAAGATACACAAGCAAATAAATGTGTCTATATACATCAAATATGCAAACACAAATGAAAAAGAACAAAAGGAAAAAAGTCTGAACTCTGTACATAATATATATATATATCCACCCACTACTTAGATCTTACTTTCAGTAAGTCTTGTTCCACTTCATCATGGACCAGGTCGATGGACATCCTTTTCTCCCTGTGGTACAAGCACTCTTGAGCTACCTGTTATTGCAGAGTTTATGAACATTGTTAAGAACAGGTCCACACCTACCAGCAGGGTAATCGTAACAGATAACATACAGAAAGTTCTTCAGAAAATGTACCAATTCAAATTATTCAGTATACCCAAGTATGAATATTTTTAACAGATTTGATCCTTTGCACCAAAGGGCCACATTTATTGAAGAACCATTATTAATAGACATATGTACTGTATGGTTGTTAATACAGAAGTAAACTATGTTAGTCTATTAAACACTGCAATAATAAAAGGACTACTACAATTACTTATAATAATAAATCAGAATTGCTATCTTAACATTTTGAGTATGCATTGTATATCTAGAAAACCCAATTATTAATTACCTAAAAGTCTGTTACAAAGCATTTTGTTACCCGATACTCACCCTAAACCCTTCATGTCACTAGATCGTTAGTTCATCAACATGACACTGCTTGTCCCAGAGGAAACCCAATAAGGTAATTGACCATGTTCGCTCATTGCAGCCTGTGTTGCTAAGCTACCCTTGTGGGAAACATATTTATCCCTAATAATCAAGTCTTCACGATAGTTTGAACTCTTAAGATGAATAACTCTTTGATATTTTTATCAGGCACAATTTGACCTGATTTATTCGTTTTAAAGGTGAAGTATCAAAACATGCTATTTATGCAATATAGGTGGAAAACATGTATAGTAAGTATAGTAAGTTAAGAAGGAAGAACTCTCCTCATGGATATTCCAGACACTCCAGTGCTAGCTAAGGACAACCTTAAATGTCACCTTTTCCAAGCAGCTTGAATCACAGGGAGGTTTATTTTTGATAACTGCACATTGTCAGATAAAGTAACTTGCAGTGAGAAAAAAACTGAAGATGTAATTAGGTCTTTTTTACCTGAGCTGAACCAGGTTTTCTCAGTTTTAATCATCTAGAGTGGTGGAACCTAATTCTCCAGCAACTTACTGTGCGTATATCTGGGCAGCCCCAGTCATCCAGAAGCTCCCCGGGATTTCTGCACCAGAATTGAGCTTTCTCACCTGCAACGGTCCTTCTGTCTCAGCCAGTGCCCGCTCCAGTCTCTTCTTCACATCTGTGAGAGTGTTGATCTCCCCAATCATGTTTCCCGTTTCGTGGGTCAGCTCTGACCTCCAGAAGGCAATGTCGTTGATCCGCTCCCCGATGTTTTTGTTAGTGGACTCCTGGTTTCTCCTAGTCAGCTGCTCCTTGTCCTGGATGAGTCTCGTGGTGTCTCTCCGTAGCCTCTCCGCGCTGTGCCTGGAGGACTCGGACTCCCTGTAGTTGCTCTGGTTCGACTTGTGCCAGTCGTCTGGAGTGTAGCGATTCACAAGGGCCGACCGATTGGAAGGGTAGAAATTCACTTTTGCTTTCGTGAGGTCTGGGGGAACCCGCTGAATAGAGGCCAGTGTGGGAATGGCACTTGCCGTTTTGTAGAACATATTGGTTCGCCAGGGCTGGTTAATACTATGGGTCAGAGCAAAATGGGGGTAATGGCTCTTATAGCTGGAAGCCATTGTGGATATAGCAGGGAGAAAGTTGCTTGTTCTGGGTCGTGCATAAGTAGCAGTCTGGGTGGAGCCCAAAAGTTCCATATCTGATTATGAGAATTCCACCAGATTCCCTAAACATTAAAATACACAACCATGTCAGGTTTACAGTACTGTATATACATGTCCTGCTCTTGATACATATTAAACTCAATTTCATTAAACTGTCAGGCTATGTAGTATATAGGAATGTACTGCTATAAATGTGGGGGGAAAAAAAATCAGTGGAAATTTCCCAAGTAAATGAATATCCCATGATAAAAATGTCATTTATTTGCAAACCAAGAGTTTTCTTCTTTCAGATCTGCTAGTGCTAAAATTGGTCACTTTGCATGTGCGGTGTGTGAATAATCAATTGCTCTGTGTAATAACCAATGCACAGCTTGCTGAGATATGTTATGAGGTCAAGTTAGCCGTATCAGTGATCTGCTTTAAAAAGGACAGCACCAGCTAGGAACAGCAAGACAAAAATCAAGCTTAGGAAAGGTCTTATCTGTTCTTAATAAATGCCTGGTGTTCATTAATATTTCTGTTATATTTATGCTATATACTGTCTGGAAATGGAATGTGAACCATTTCCCATGCAGAAGCTATAAAAATGCCACAGCTGCTTTATTTGAGCAAAGATTGGATGCTAGTGTTTTTCTTCATTCCAGAAAGAGATGTCTTGCTTTGCTTCGCCAGCATTAAATCCGTGTTCAGGAATGATCGTATCCTGCAGTGCACATGGCACCTGCCTTTGTGGGATATGGACCACAGCCAGAAAAAACACTAACCTTGTTACCTGCAGCATCCAAGAACTGAATATTGGAATTATGTTAGTCAAACAGACTTATTTTGGTGCATTCCTGCTTCCAGTAATGTACCATTGCAACTTTAATGTGCTTCTAGATTGCATAGATCTTTCTGATAAAACCAAAAAGAAATTATTTTTACTTAATGCGTATGTTCTTTTATAAAAATGAACAAATGTAATTGCAAACTAAGTTTTTATACTCAGAAGCTTTAGAACTGTATATAAGATTAATAATCATAAAGTAAATAATTATGTAATGTGCTTATAAGTCAGAATTACAGTGTGCAATCATTCTATGAACCTACATTAGCAACCTAGCTGTAAAAAGTCACTTTTACAATACACTTCTTTATTACCTTTTGTTAAAGGGACAATAAATTAACACCTTCATTTCAGAATAACGCAATATTATATGGATTTAAATTGATCTCTTTAAATGTAATTATTCGCTATTATATATTATCATAATGCGAAAAATATAAATGTTGTATTGTCATCTCGTAAGTAAAATAGTAAGAAACAAAGAGGACATCTGTGAGGCAGCAACAAGCCTATAAGGTAAGAAAATGATTCAATACCTATTTAAATTGTATTTTAAAGCTTTCCGACTTAAATTAATGAATCTTGCTCTTACTTTACTTTTAAGACTTTAAAATTTGCGTGATCCGGCACGATGACACGTGATGATCCCTTCTGTCTATCTCGAACCCCGTTTGTTTCACGTGATAAAATACGGGAAAAACATAACCCTATACATACCTGTAACACCAGCTTTTCACTGTTTTCCCCGTGCCTCGGCTATACACCTGGCCCCGACTACCTTGATGTCACACCCTCCGGCCCGAGGTTTGCTCACACCTCTAGCGACTCAACAATTTAAGACAGGTATCCAGTGTGAATGAATTATTGATGGACAGAAAGAATGACCATTCCAGTTGCGACACTCGCGGGTAGGGCGGGCTAGGCGGTAGTTCAAAGCCAATTGCAGGATGAGAAAGGCGGTAATTTAAAATTTAAATTGTTTTAGATTACTTAGTTGCCAAGGAGGCAGTTGCTCATAGTAACCACCCACGGAGTTTGGCTAAGTTATAGATGCCTGTCTCTCTTACTAAGGGTGCCCTAGAGCTTTAGAAAACTATACTAAGCCTTATAAAACTACATAGAATACAGAAAAATAAATAATATTTCTGTACATACTTTCAACAGGTGTGCAGATCGTTGTTTTGCATTCGATTGTATTTCATATTTCTGAGTTAAATTTTCTTAGGCCGGTTTAACTGGCGGATTACTTAGTTGTTGTCAAGGGTATACCCAAATCAAAAATACACCATTTATGAATCATAGTCTCAGTCTTTTATAGTCACCACGGTATAACAGATTTTAACATGTATTTAGGAAATTCGTTTTACTAGGCTCTGTTAAATGTTTTTTTTTTTACCTCAGAAATTTGAAAGAAAGTTTCTGATTCATTCTTTTCAAATTCTTTGACATGGAGGTTCAAGCACAAAGCAACACCACTTTGTTCTCTAAATAAAAACCTAATCTATTGTTCTGCAGATGGACTGCAGCAGGCATATTCTGGTATCCAGCGTGGAGATAATCCAATTGCTCGTGGATCACTTACTGACAAGACGAGACCCCCTGGAGTTGACATTAACGAAACAGGATATATTTCTAATAAAACTCATCAGCTAATGTCCAGATATCTCTGCATGGAAACCTCAGAAATGAAAACACAAATCTGTACGATGATATACAAATTAGACTTTATTTAAGGAATAGAATATAATGAAACACATCGCTCGTGGTTCTTTTTTTCTGTCATACTGAAAAGGAGATCTCTTCCATTTTTAAGATGTGTTACGGTTTTTTTTTATTGTGATGGAATTCATTTGTAACACACTTGCTGTGTGAGCCTCACAGCAACAACAAAATTGCATCCCTAAAACGTTCCAGTCATTTTAACCCCCTGTCGATGCTGCTTATTCTTACTATAGGAGAATGTGTTTCCACCACAAGCCTCCTTGTCGACACTCCTCTTCTGGCAAGTTGAAAACTTCTGCTCCAGTACACAGTACACAGGCACACATCTACATCCACTAAAGCTAACTTCCAGGACATCTGCAGTACCTGAGTGTCTAAGAGACCTGAAAACTGTCCAATTATTCTCATTTGTAGTATTTATTTTAAATTGTGCTGGTTTCTAAAGCTACATTAAAACGGTGTCGCACAACAGCCTGCGCCCCTCATGCTGCAGCTGTTGTCTCACTGTGCTACTTTGATAAATTTGATTGTTTTACTATTATGCATATTTGAGGGGACAATTACTATAAACACGGGTTTCTTTGACACTGTTTTAGGCACTAGACATATTTGAGGGTGGTGTCACAGTGAAACGTTTTCCTCATCATGCACTAAAGAGGCTTCTTGAATTCTGTAAAAACATCCACCGACATTGTGTGTATAGTATATCGGCCTTCGTTTGAAAATTCCTTTTTTATTATTTTTTCTTATCTCCACGGATGATCTCGCCCTCAACAAAATGAAAACAAAAGATGATACAGCATACTTTTTATGTGTCCTGTCATACATAGTCATATCGTATATTCAACCAAAAACCCCAGCCTTTGACTAATGAGTTATTGTTCCATTTGAAACCAAAAGCACAGTCACACTAGACATGTTTGGTAACAAGATAAATTGTTCAATTTCAGACCAAAAGCACAATCACACTAGACATGTTTGGTAACAAGAGAAATTATTCAATTTCAGACCAAAAGCACAATCACACTAGACATGTTTGGTAACAAGAGAAATTGTTACCCACAGTATGTGACCTGTTCTCTCATACAACTACAGCTGCATCAGTTTCCTGTATCTCAATTATAACAAAAGACCCAAATGCTGAAATCTATTCCAGTTTCCTGTAGCAAATCTCAGCATAGCACATGAGTCTTCTTGGAAAGTGTGGCCAAGCACAAAAGCTTTTTCCTAGAGGGAGGGAAGCTTTAGGAAAGAAGTAACATCCCTGATATTTTTGGCGTAATATTTTAAATAGGTTGCTAGAGAAAGGGCGTTATCACATGTGTCTGGAATGGCTGCTTTGGGAGTCATTAGCATCAGGGAACAAAATAACCTGCCCCACACAGCTGTGCACCCAAAAATACCAAAAAATAAACTGGCACTTGCATCTGAATTGATGCACTTTTAGAGAAAAGGAAAATAAACCTTTATAACTGTAAAGAATTAAAATCTCTCTTGAATTCAACATAGAAAAATAACATTGTTCATTCAAAATTCCAAGGGAATATACAGAGAGTCTACATAAAATGTTCCAGTTTCTATCACACAGCTTTTATAGCCTTTTTCTATAGGACACATAGAAAAGGGTGGTGATCTGGTAGACGTTTTGTGATGTGAACCAGTGTTCACTGGGGTGTGGTCTGATAAACTGACCCACGAATGACCCAGTAAACACATCTTAATTTTTAGTTACACAATCAGTATGTGAAGATATATCAATGCAGACAAATATTAAACATAATCTAGGTAAGCTCCCTCTGTAAATTTCCATTTGATCTAGTCTAAATCTGATATTGACCGCAGAAAACTTTTACCCAGGTAATTTTATTATCATTGTGTCAGGCTGTTCACGGTCAAGTTAACTCTAATGTTTATTATCTTCTCACAGTGCAGCCCCCCTGTCTAATGGGTATTTTACAAGTTTGTGTTGTGGGAGAGAAAAGGCATAGCAACCTCCCCCACAAAACGTGTGCATAGGTGACAGGCACATCCTAGAGGTCAGTGGCACAGCAATTAGAATAGAATAGTTTCATCAGCCCGGCTGAATAACCACAGCATGCACAAACTTGCCCTGTGTCAAATGTTAATCACAGCAACAGGCCGTGGGCTCTGTGAAGTAGGGTGGATCCAGCAGCCAGTCCATTGTGTATATGACATAACCGCATGTAAAGAAGAATGTGTATCTGAGTCTGCAGTTTTGAGTTTATTTTATATTGTGTTATTTTGAAGTAATTTAAATGTTTTTTTTTATTTAAAAGTCATCGCCAGTCCCCTTTCATAATTTTTAAACAATCCAAATAGTAGATTTCAAATTCTATATCATTTTGAATCAGTTGCCCAGCATATCATTGCATTTTGCAACGACTGTGATTTGAAAAATTTGTCCAATATCCAAAAATGTATTCAACCGGAATAAAAAGTTTAAACTTGAACACATCATATTTGATGTGGAATATGCTGTTGTGTTGTTGGTGTGATGGTTTGTTTAACAGGCTCCCACTCCATCCTGTGCAACAACAGTTTTAGATTTCAAGATTGAGGTAGACAGGAGCTCAGGAATTTGTGAAATCTGAACCTAGCAATCTGAACTTTAAAGGAACAGATATCAAGTTATTTATGAAATTTAAAGGAGCATAATTCCACATATGTAATGTTTCAAATGTACATGATATATCTGTATTTCCTGTATTTCACAGAACACTGTTATCAATGCCAAATATTGAATCTCAGCTAAAAGGGGGCTTGTCTGAGCACTAAATATTTACATATATTATATGTCATAAGCCAATATGTAATGGCACAAGGTGCTTTATAAACATCAGCAGGAGTGTCTAGTGTTGTTCCTTAAATACAAAACTCTTGTAGTCCTTGTGTATCTTATGAGGTTAAGAAGAATCAGATATTGCTCTTTAGGGTAACTGCCTTATGCAGTATAGGTTACATTTAGCCTATAAATCATTAACACTGCAGGAAGAAGAGTCCACCGAAAGCAATTTAACACATAATAATAATCCTAGTGTCCCGTTACACAGAACGCAGAGGTATTCTTTACACTAATCTGGGCTAGGGCTGCTTGAACAATACACCTTTCAAATGCAAGGTTATAGGGTTTTTTTCAACAAGTAATTGATGATCTTGATCATTGCCGATAAAAAACAAAATATTTTCCATTGCAGTAAGATAGGAGCATTGCTGTGCTTCACTTTTAGTATCCATAGGGTGACTGGCAGGAGTCACATACAGTAGCAAGCTCTGTTCTAAAAGAGAGCAGAATGAAATGGAAGCAGTTCAACTCACTTGAATATGTGTGGTTATCCCTTTACTTGTTTCTATAAATCAAGTGGCAAAGTTATTTGCTGTTGTTTGCTTAAATCTGGTATTAGTCATAATTTTCATGGATCTTCAGATGCTTCAATCTTTTGTTTGTGTAAAAGTGATAACTAAAATGTATTTAAAGTTCATATATAATTAAAGAAAATGTGTCGAATACTGAACAGAATGGAAATTCAAATAATATATGGGAATATGCAGCATGTCAACTAAGTTATCGTATCAGTACATACTGTATATATATTTTATATATATTTTCATCTGAAGAGAAATAGAAGCAAATGAATGACAGGTGTTATTGTCTCAGCACCTTTTAGTAAAATATTTTGGTCTGAGAGCCAGAACTACAGTATACTTGGTGCTCCCCTCCTGTTATAAATGTGACTCCTACAAAAGCAGGCTTTATTATTTAACCTTGTCCAATAACTCAAAGGTGAACCCCTCTTGGAAAAATATACAGACTTTAACAAAAACAGCCCTCCAGCTGCACATACTCTCTTTGTGAGCCACAGAGAGATTTTACATCCTCAGCTGCTACTAAAGATGACTTCCTCTTTCTCTTCCTCTGCTCTTTAAAATGGTTTCTGAAATTGGCCCATTCAATAACTAGCAGATGCTGAGTGCCCATTTCTGTAGCAGGAGCTCACCCAGGTCCAAAGTAAGCATTACCTCTCTCACCACACCATTGTTTAGTTGTGCAATCACTTCTCAGTGTTATTTCACTGGGAAAGCTCACACCGACAGGGGGTTTAGCCGCAGGCCATCTCATGGTAACTAAAACAACAGAGTATTAC